GGGACGGGGCCGCCGCTCTCTGCCGGCCCCTTCCCACATCCCGCCTCCTGCGCCTCGGTTTTGTCTGGGGGCAGGAGCCTGCGGAAACGTCGGGTGCCCTGGGAGGGGACAGGGAGGAGCCGCCGGGAGAGCCCGCACCCCCGGGGCCGGGGCCGGGCCGGGAGGACGGCAGAGACGGAGCGGCGCAGCCCGGGGGGGGAGAGCCGCAGCGGGGACGCGCTCCTGGAGGATCTGCCGCCCGCCCCCTCTGCAAGCGGGCTCTATGCGGGACGGGACCGGCCATGGAGAAGTTGTACTTGGCGGGGAGCAGCGTCTGGACGGGCAACGGCTCTCTGGGGAACGGCAGCCTCCGCCTGGAGAACCAGACCTCCGGGAGGAACGGCACCGCCGACCCCCTGAAGAGGAACGAGGACATGGCCAAGGTGGAGGTGACGGTCCTCTGCCTCATCCTCTTCCTCGCCCTGACCGGCAACCTGTGCGTGCTGCTGGCCATCCACACCACCCGGCAGAAGCACTCCCGCATGTATTTCTTCATGAAGCACTTGAGCATCGCTGACCTGGTCGTGGCCATCTTCCAGGTGCTGCCCCAGCTCATCTGGGACATCACCTTCAGGTTTTACGGGCCAGATTTCCTTTGCCGGTTGATCAAGTACCTGCAGGTCGTGGGGATGTTTGCTTCCACCTACATGCTCTTGCTGATGTCCCTGGACCGGTGCTTGGCCATCTGTCAGCCGCTGAGGTCTCTGCACAGGAGAGCGGACCGGGTCTCTGTCCTCCTCACCTGGCTGCTCTGCCTGCTGGTCAGCATCCCTCAGATCCACATATTTTCTCTGCGGGATGTGGGGAATGGAGTTTACGACTGTTGGGCAGATTTCATCCAGCCCTGGGGACCTAAAGCCTATGTCACCTGGATAACCCTTATGGTCTACATCATCCCCGTGTTGATGCTGAGCATCTGCTATGGCTTAATCAGCTTCAAAATCTGGCAGAATGTGAAGCTTAAGACAGCTCACGGGGCCAACGCGGGTCTGAGCTCCAGCTCCTGCAGCGGGACGGCGTTTGCCAGGGTCAGCAGCACCAGGCTCATCTCCAAAGCCAAGATCCGGACAGTCAAAATGACCTTCATCATAGTGTTAGCTTTCATAGTGTGCTGGACTCCCTTTTTCTTTGTGCAGATGTGGTCTGTGTGGGACACGAATGCTCCGCAGGAAGGTATGTGCTCCCCCCTCCCGTAGCCCTACGTTTGCATGGACTGCTCTGCTCGGTGGCACAGGGACACCGACAGCGGACCCGGGGGCTGTGAGTGACAGCCAGAAACTGCTCCGAGCCGGGTCTCAGAGGGCTGGGAGGGAGCCAGGGAAAAGTCCTGAATGTGGAAAACCCACCCGACGGGCAGTAGCCTTGGCTGAGCTTCCCTGGTGGGGGCGAGGGCTGGCTCAGACCCCGGCAAGTTCAGGGCTGCTGCAGCTCAGGGGTCGGGCTCAGGAGGTTCTCATTGTCCCCAGGTGCAGGAGCTCAGCCCTCCCAGGGCTGCCCCGGGGTCCCTGTTGGCTCCATGTCCCCCCCGGGTGCTGGGACACACTGGGAGCTGCGTGGGGGCTCAGCCCTGTGGCTGCTGCTGGAGGAAAACTGCACAGCGTTAGTGCCCGACTCCTTTTCTTTTCCTGTATCGTTTTGTCCTCACCAGCTTCTTTGCTTTTTGCTCTTCTGCCCTCTTTTCCCTCTGCTCTCCCCCCGTTTCCATCCACCCCGGGACTGCGCTGCTGTTATTTTATCTCTGGAGCGCGGTTCCCGCAGAAAGGCACTGATTTATGAGCAAAGGCTTTTCCTAAAGGACGTGGTGTCACTGATTTGCCATTTTTTATACTTGGTGCTGGCTGCTCCTGTCATCACCGAGGCTGCAGACAGAGGCAAATATATTACCCTCCTCGGCCTCGCGCGCGGTGCGTGTCGGTGCCGTCGCGGGGTGGAGGTGCCGATGGTCCCTCTGCACCCACGGGGAGAACCCGCCGGGAAGGCTTTATGGAGAAGCTCTGCCCAAGTTTGGGAGGTGGGAGAAAGGGTGAAAGGGTGCGTCCAGGGACAAGTCCTCCTTGGACAGACTGAGCCAACTCAGCCCAAATGCCGAGTCTGGGGGTGTCAAAGGCCGATGAGGAGCTGTGCCCTCCCCCCGGCTCCCCTGGCATCCCTGCAGCCCCACTTACAGCTCACTTACACCTACACTCCTCCCTTCTTTCCCCCTGTCCCAGCTATCCATGGCTCTGTGGATGCCTCCTGCCTCCTGCAGCCCTGCACCTCTGTTCTCCAGGCACCCAAGCTGGCAGCCTGCCTGGCTCCAGCCCTCCCTACTCTGCCCGTGTTGCCTCTCTCTGCTCCTTTCAGTTCAGGTGGAGAAGTGAAGCCCAGCTTTTCCAGCCTCCCGAGGTGCTGCAGGCAGCCGTCTCTTGGCTTTGCACCTGATTCAGGCTGGTTGAAACTTCCAGCTGTCAGACGTGCCCCGGGATGAAGCCGTGGCTCTCCCTGTTGTGTTTCTAACTGCAGCCTCCATCCAGGGCTCCCTCCTGACGCCTTGGCAAACGAAGCCCTGTGGCTCCGCCAGCTCCTGCGGCGCGGGGGCACAGCAGGGGTGGTGGCTCCCTCCTGACGCCTGTGGCTCCGCCGGCTCCTGCGGCGCGGGGGCACAGCAGGGGTGCTGGCAGACCTGTGCCCGCTGCCCCGGGACCCTCTCCCCTCCTCACCCCGACCCCGCGATGCTTCTCCTGCTCGGCTTTGCTGTGGGGCAGCCAGGGCAGCTCCGGCCGAGCCGGGCTGGAACCAGCTCCCCTTTGCCCTCACCCTTCTGTGGCTGGGGGCCGTGCCTGCAGCAAAGGGGGGGAGCTTTGCCAGGGCATTTGCTGGAGACTTTCAGGGCACGGGGAGGAAAAGCCTCAGGCGGGTAATTGTGAATAGTGAATGCCAGGAGACCCCAGCCCTTCCTCCCAGGCCCACCCTCCAGAGAGGGGTGGCAGGGTCCGACCTTCCTGCAGAAGAAACGGGCTTTGCCTGCTGCGTTCCTGGCAGTGATGCCCACCATCCCACATCTCTTCCCCTTTGCTCTGAGGCTTGGGCTGCCTCGGCCGGGCAGCATCGCGTGCCCCTCAGCAGGAAGGGAATTTGGCTGTTTGTGGCTTTGCAGGCTTTGCAGTCTGCGCGGGCGAAACGTCAGAGGAGGAAGGGGGGCAGGCGGGCAGGGGGCTCGCTCTGCAGCCCGGGGACCCGTCGCGGCTGCAGCACCCAGAGGCTCTGCCCCGGGAGGTGACGAGCAGATCACAGAGGCTGCGTGATGGGGGGGTCGCTTACTTAAGAAAATATTTATTTTTCTCCGTGTAGGATGCCATAATGAGTGTCCTTGGCAAGGAAAGGCTGCTTGTACCTGCCTGAATCCTAATGAATCCTGTGCAGGCGCCCTGCAGATCCTGCCCGGATCTGCATCCCGGAGCGTGGGGAGATGCGGATCTGGGGCGGTCACAGAGGGATGTGGGGTGCTTTGTCTGCCGTGGGTACAGCTCCCATACTGCTGCTGCCCAGTGTGCCACGGGCTGTGCTGGTACCTTTGCAGGGGGCAAAGTCTGCTGCGGTTTGGTGTGTGTCGGGGGTAAAAGATCAGGCTGTAACGGAAACAACCTGAAGAATCCCTCCTTTCCCAGTCAGCACAGCGATAATCAGAGGGGTGGCACCTTGCTGTTACTGATCCACCTCGGTACCTTTCTACATGGGTCTTCCTCACCTCAAAAAACAACTTAAAATAAGGCAAGTGAAGGGCAGAAGCTGGCGGGTCTTCCTCACTTCAAAAAACAAATAAAATAAGGCAAGTGAAGGGCAGAAGCTGGACTCTCACCCTGAGCAGTGCCAGGCAGTGACGGGATGGGGCTGGGGTCCCACACTGCTGCTGCCCGCTCCCCCTGTCCCCCGGCCACGCTATCGCCCTGCCCCGCATCCCGGCTCCACGGGACATCCGTGTCCCTTCCCCGGGTGCCCTGGGGCAGATGGCAGTGCCCAAAGGTGTGTGCTGAACACTGCGGAGCCTGGGGAGGGGCCGGGGGAGTCAGTGTGGTGTCAGGATATCAGATGTCCCCAGCCAGGCATTGGTGAGCCCCCCCTTGGCTGGCCATGCAAACCAACCTAAAACCCCTGGGAGGTGCGGGATGGAGCTACAGGTTGTGATTCAGGTGTCGCTGCAGCTCTGGGGATCCTTCGCAGAACATTAGTTTAAATGAGGTTTCTGCTCCACGCACCTTGTGGATAATTTACGCTACATGTGGCATTTTGAGCTTTGAGTTAAGGTTGGCTTCAAGCCTCTGTGAAGATAATAGTGAGGCCGTGAAGCAGCGCAACTCTGTTATATTGGTCCCTTAATCTTGGGAGCAGATGCCCTGAACCGTGGGCTGTGAGTGATGGCACCTGCCTGCCTGTGGGAATTAAGGAACAGTCCTCCTCTTGTTTCCCTCCCTCCCCAGCAGCGCTGGCAGTGGGTCCAGCAGCCCTTCCCCGGGCACAGCCTCCCCCTGCCCCTGCCCGTCCCTCCGGAGAGCACACCGTCCCCGTCCTGCGTCGGGGTGTCCGGAGCCTGGGGAGAGGGAAGGTCCGTGGGGAGCAGAGCTTTTCCCTGTGCAGCACCTCTCGGGGATCTCCATCGTCCCTGCTGAGGAGGGGAGAGAGCCGTGCTTAAAACCTGCCCTGCAGTAAGCTCCATGAAATTCAATTTATCTCCCTCAGAGGGAGAAGAGCTGAGTCAGCCATGCCTGGATTTTTTTAAGTGGATAGAAACGCTATGATGAATTTCAGGTCTTGTGCCCAGGATTCGTAAGCCATTCCCCATGGATTCCTTTTAGCATATGCTTGAAATTAAAAGCGGTTGGAGCAGACATCACTAGAGCAGGAATTATGCATGAATTGGTTAAAAGTGAATTTGGAAACTGGTGTTCAATATTCACACTTTTTCTAGTTTAAAAACTGCGAGTGGATTTTTTTTGCAGAGGTGGAAAGGGACCAGAAACAGCCAAACCCAAGCACACATCCTTGCAGCTGGCACGTGCCCTGCGGGGACGAGGAGAGGAGAGGCTGGGCTGGCACCACGGGGAGAGGATGAGGGCTCTGTCCCTGCCCACAACCAGTTCTGGAGGTGCCCCCCTGCCCCTGGGGCTGCCGTGCTGGGGGCGAGTCCCCCTGTCCCCTTCTTGCCAGACAGTCGGGTACTTTGTGCTCGGGGACTTGGCATCCTGGCACCTCCTGCCACCCTCGCCTCCTGTCCCCATCGTCCCGCTTGCAGCCACTGCCAGGCTCTGGGCTCATTACTGAGGTGGGAATGGCCGGCCTTTCCCCTGGCAGAGGGGAAAATGCCACCGCTCCTGAGGCTGGGAGAGCTCTGGGCAAAGAGGCAGGGATGGTGACAGGCTGGTGGGCACTGTCCTGTTGGACGTGTGTTGGTGGCAGGGACAGCCCAGGAGCAGGGCACCCCCTGGGGGAGCGTGGCATCCCCCCAGCCTGAGCCGGTGAGAGCTGCTAGTCAGCCCCAGGCTGGCCACAGGTGGGGAAAAGTGAACCACCAGGCTCTTGGTGTTCCCCGTCCTGCTCTTTGCCATGGCAGCTCCCGGAGGCCACGCTCCTTCCCCCCAGCTTCGGGCCCCGAATCGCTCGGATGATGCTGGGGGCAGCGCTGCCTCTGGGCGAGGCATTTCTAGGGTAATGCCAAGCAGCTGAGCGGGGGAAATGCAGCTCTTCTGGGGGGAAAAACCCCTAAAACTAAGTTGCTTAAACCCAGACTTGCTTCCCCCCTCTTTATTTGCCAGCTCTGCTGTACCGATGTACGACCGAGGCGCTCCTGCAGGCCGTGCAATGCAGAGCCTGGGGCTCTCGGCAGAGCCCGCCGCGGCGCGTGCCCGGCCCCCCGGGTGGTGTTTCTCTCCGTGCCCTGACGCTGCCCCACTCTCTGCCTTGCAGCCTCCCCCTTCATCATCGCCATGCTCCTGGCCAGCCTCAACAGCTGCTGCAACCCCTGGATCTACATGCTCTACACCGGGCACCTCTTCCACGACCTGATGCGGCGCTTCCTCTGCTGCTCCACGCGGTACCTGAAGTCGCGGCCGGCGTGCGACCTGAGCGTCAGCAAGAAGAGCAACTCCTCCTCCTTCGTCCTCAGCTGCAAGAGCACGAGCCAAAGGAGCTTCACGCGTCCCTCCATGACGTGAGGGCATGGCCGGCCGGGACCTCACTCTGCCGCCCCGCTGCCCCCCGCGCTTCCCAGTGAGAAGCTGGGGTTCGGACAAGGAAAGGGGGGTTCTCTATAAATAGGTGTATATATGTCTGTGCCTGCCAGCATGTGCAGCAGTCATTATTTAACTGAGGTGGGAGAGGGGGAGGACTTCCGTGGTCCACGTTTCAGCGCTGCCTGGGACGGGGTGCCAGGAACCTGCTTCTGAGCCCCCAAACCGCTGCCATTGGTGGCTTTTAGGTGCCACCAGGAGGGAGGGGTCTTGCCCCCAGTGACCCTGTGCTGCTGGGCGGATGGGTTACGTCCCCGTTGGATGCGAGGGGCTGCAGCACAGGCTGAGAGGTGCCGGTTTGAAGCGCTGTGGGGCAGAGGCAGCCCCATCCCTGCGCCCCCGCTCCGTGCCAGCCCTGCTGCCCCCCAGCCTGGTGGCACTGCCGGCACAGAGCAGGGCAGGCCTGCCCCCAGAGGGGACAGAGCTGGGGATGGACCTTCTGGGGGACAACAGTGGCACCTGGGTGTCCCTGCCCCTCTCCAGCTGTGCGGAGGGGTCGGCAGGGGCGGGGGGAGCGGGCACCACCGCAGGGTCAGGGTGTCTGTGCAATGACACCGTCACTGAGTGTGCTCAAAGCTTCCCTGCAGGCGGGTGTTTGGGGTGCTGGCTGGGCTCCGTGGGGTTCAATGGAAGCCCCCTGCTGAGCCCCCCCAGGGCCAGGCTTTTGCTTTGGGTTTACCCGCAGATCACATTTAGTCTTTTACACCAATGCAGTTTTCTTGCTCTGTAACGCACAAGGTCATGCTTATGGCATGGGATTTTTATTGGTAAGAAATACCTGTAAATAAAGTTTTCAGGCTGTGTTGACGGGAGGGGCAGCAGGGGCACTGGGCTAAGGAAAAGGAGGAAACTGAGGGGAAACAAGGCTTTAAACACAAACTATACCCAGTGTAATGATGCTTTTGTTTATAGAGCACCGCACCAAGCACTTCAGACCCACACACCGCTTTGTTCCATGGCGTGACACTGGCTGTGACACAGCCCTTGGCGGGGGGACAGCAGGGCTGGAGGGGGGCTTTCCCTGCACGGGGGGCAGTGGGAGCCAGGCCCCACAGAGGATGCTCCTGCCTTCGCCCCCTGCCTCGGGGGGATGCGCAGAGCCAAGGCCTGTGTGCATCAAAGGGTAACACAATTTGGCCTTACATGTTGGGAATGAATATGAAAAATGCATTTTAAAGTGTACTTTATTTTTTCACTGTCATCAACAGGTACATTTTCACCTTTCATGTCCTGGCATTCCTTTGTTTTTTTTTTTTCTAGTAGCTTCAAGTGAGCTCTTGGCACATTTGCTAAGTGCGACGCAGCACGTTCAGTGTCAGCACATTTTACTGGACTGCTTTAAATATACAGGAAAGCACAGAGCATTTTCCTCCCATGTTCATCATCCTTCTCCTTGAGAGTAATTAGCTCCTGCGCTGAACGAGGAGAGGGGGGGAGGGTTGAAAATTGAATTTTATGGGGAACCCGGAGGCCTGGCACATCCTCCATCTGCCAGGAAGGGGACCCAAAGCGGTGATGGATTTTACCAGGACTGATGCACGGAGCGAGGAGGAAGCTTTGGGAGAGGCAGAGCATTGCCTTGCAAGCCCCAGTGCAATTTCTGGCTGCAGTTATGGGGTCGGGCAGGCAGAGCCATGCCCCCCCCGGCCCTGCTCCTTCGCCATCCCTGGGCCATGGCAAAGGGGGGACGGGGAAAGCAGCTCCAGGCTCGTTGCGGTGGAAGGATGTTGAAAAGGATGCTGAAGGCACTGCCAAAGGCTCAAAAGCCAAGTGCTGACGGCTGGGCAGTGCGTGCTCTGTGTGCAGGGAACCCACAGACCACTGCTGGGGGAGATCAGGATTCTGGAGGTTTTTTTGGGCTGTGAACTACTAGAACAAAAAGCCATTAAAAAGAATATAATCCCAGTATTGTTTTTTAATTACTTTTATTCCCACAAAAAGCTTTAAAAAATGCTCATGATAAAATGTTTTTTGAAACTTTTTCCCCTACAAATATCTAAATATTATCTACATAGCTTTTTTTTTTTTTTATCACTCCATCCATCTCGAGGCCCGGTGTTGCTGGAGCATGGGTGCTATATTGCTATGGAATAATGAGAGACCACAAGCCATTGGAAGAGCACCAATAGAAAATCTGACTCTTTCTTGCCCTTGGCATGGCACTACAAGAAACTTTGGCTCCAAGTCTTTGTTGGAAGCCAAGGGAAAAAAGCACATGAATACAATTGAGAATAACCTCTGAACGAGACCTCCTGGGCCCTGATTCAGCAAAGCACTTAAGGCCAGAGCCAGAAAAGCATTAAAGTGCCTTGAAGTTAAGCTATGGCTTCATGAAAGATGGACTAAACAAATTAATTGACTATACAGGGGAGGAAATAGCTCCAAATTGGATTTTTTTTCCATCATCCCTATGTTCCCAGCGGAGCAGCTGGGAGCAGGCAGTGTCCTGGAGGGGGGTCCCTCCTTGGCTCCCCCGGCACGACTGGGAGCCCCGCTCTGGGATGCTGGGGGAACTGGTGGGAAGGAAGGGCAGGAGGCAGCCCCTTGGATGAGGGTGTTCTCCTGTGGGACAGAGCCCATGGGGACAGCGTGGTCCTGCCCCCCACACCAGGCAGGGCAGGGAGCAGAGGGACAGCTGGGGAAGAAGAACACACTGCTGTAGGCAAGGGCTTGCCCAGCATCACACAAGCCAGCACGGACCCTCTCCGAAGGTCCCTCCAGCCCCTACCATTCTGTGATTCCATAGTAATATTCTCCTTGAGCAAGAAGCCAAAGCTGCTCATTTCTCAGGTGAAGCTACCAAAAGCCGTTTGTTCTCGCTGTTCCCCGTGGTCCTGCCCGGCTGCCCCTCTGCAGGATGCGCAGGACGGCTGCCTGCCCCTCCCGTCCTGGCCACAAAGAGTGACGATGCCCCACAATTAATTAGTGAGTGTCACCCTGCCACAAGTGGTTCTGCAATCGCCGGTGGCCCAGGCCAGCACAGGCCCCCAGGAGGCAGACACAACACTTCGTGCACTGATTGATCTGGGCTTCAAAGCTTGGCTGAAATGCAAACACACAGGAAAAAAGAAAAGTTTTCTTTTACTATTCTATCCATAAAACTTTTGTGCAGCGTGATTTGATGCAGAAGCTTCCACAACAACAATTATTTGCAGCAAGTAATAAAAACTCGTATGCCTTGGTGGGGCTAGACCGAAGGGCTGGAGAAGCAGGCAGGGTTTGGTCTGTTGTCCAGCAGCATCTCTGCACCCCCACTTCTCGCTCTGCTGCTGCAGGTGGTGGCCCAGGGCTGTGGTCCAGGAGATGCTGCGGTCCCTCCCGCAGGAGCAGGGGGTGATGCTGGGGGGCAGAGAGCTCTCCCTGGCCTGCTTGCTGAGCCTCGATGGGCTCCTCTTCTCCTAAAGCTGCTGGCTTTGGGATGGAGAAAGGAGCAGCCCAGCGTGCCTCCATCTGCAGGGAGCAGCCCTGGCATCCAGCTCTGCCATGGGGTCCCACCGAGCTGCAGGTCCCTGGGCAGGGGTGTCCCTGTGCCCCAGGGCTGGTTGGGGAGGCTGTAGGCACCTAGAACTCCTTCCGGAGAGTAACTCGGACGTTGCTGCAGATCTTGGAGAGAGCCTCAAAGAAGGGGTCGCAGAAGGTGTGGATGCAGAGGGAGTAGATGCGGCTGACGCACTGGATCTCGATCAGGTAGCTCTTGATGCAGGGCACCACCGCCCAGATGTGGCAGAAGGAGATGAGGGCGAAGAGGAACCCCCAGATGACTGCCAGGGGGATGCCCAGGATGGCAGAGAGCAGCCGGTAGCACCAGTACTTGCTGACGGTGAAGGTGGTGTAACTGGTTTTCCAGACGCCATCAAAGCTGTATGTTCCCACGGGCTCAGCGATCACATCCTCAAAATCCACCTGGGGGGGGAGAAGAAGGGTGTAAGGGGGGGGTTTGGGGGTGGGGAGGGTAGCAAGGGCTCCAGTGCGAGGATGAAGATCCACTGCAGTGTCAGGGGGCTGGGGAGAGCAAGGGCCATGCTGGGGCGTGGGACAGACCCCCGGCACCCCCCCGGAGCGAGGACAAGCCCCGCTGCAGCAGCAGAGCCCCTGCTCCGTGTGGGGTCCAAGCAGGAGGTGCCGTGGGGCTCCTGACCCATGGCTCTAGCCCCCGGGCTCGGCCACCCCGGGCCACATTCCCTGTCCCCAAGCCCCCAGCCCTGTGTGTGTGTCCAGGGGCCAGTGCCGGGCAGGAGCCCTGGGAAGCAGCGCTGTGCCGGGGAGTGTTTATTCCAGAGCCTGTTCCTACCCTTTTTTAGCATTCAGGGACACGGGCTGCCTGCTCGGCCAGAAGGTGGTTTGTGCTAATAAAAATCCAGCAGCCCCTCTTGATTTACAGTTTATTTATTTCTACCTGCGGAGGCGAGGTGCTCAGTTCTGTCTGTCTGTCTGTCTGTCTGCCTCCTGTCTGGAGAGGGAGAGACGGGCTCAGCTGTGCCCTTATGGGGACAGGGTTGTTGCATGCAAGCTCTGGGAGTGCCTCTGAGCGACAAAAGCAATCTTAAAAAGCCCCTGGACCATGCAGATACCACTGCAGCGCAGCTCGCTTTTAGGGAATGCACGTGCCAAGCTGTTTGTCTTGAAAAACAGCATGGCCTTTCCTGTGGAAGCTGGTGTGTCTGTCTGTACATGGATGTTAATTTGCAATATCCATTCTGGCTTTGGAAACACTTTGATCCTTAAAACATTCTGCATCCTCTTTAATTTCCTGGGTGGGCAGGAGGTCCCGGGAGAAACACTGACGTGGATGAGGGATCCACAGCCAGGTGAGCTGGGGAAGCCCCAGGAACCCAGCAGCAGCCTGCTGCCCAGCTGCCTAACGAGCTAATCAGGGCATCAATTAGTGAAGGGAGGGGCAGGATATAAGAGGAGGGTCTCTGCCCTGTTGTTTCTTTTGCTGAGGGTAGGTCTGGAGGAGTGGTGGAGGCAGAGCTGAATCCCGAGCTGAGCTGGAGCTCCCGGTGGGCACAGGTAGGGCTGGGGGGTCTGTGGTGCGCACAGGTAGGGCTGGGGGGTCTGTGGTGCTGCCTGGGGGGAGGCTGCTCAATCTCTGCAGAGCCTCCGTGGCTAGTGCCGCTGCTCTGATGTGGGCTCCAGTTCCAGCTGTTGGACCGTAAGGCTCAGGATGGGTTTATCTACGGCTGTGTGAACCCTACAGCCCCCCTGTTTCCCTGCCTCCCTCCCCGACACCCCTCTCTCCCTGCTCTGCTTTAGGAGTTTTTGTGCTTTAGTGCCCGGGGTGGTTCTGAGTGTGTTGCTGCCCACTGGGGAGGGGGAGGCTTTGGTTTTCCCTTTGGGATGCTGGTGCAGAAGCCTGGTGAGAGGCAGTGGGGTGCGTTGTGCCCCCCATCCCGGGGCTGGCTCTGCCCTGCTCTCTCCCCAGCCTTATCGGCCGGGCTATTTTTAAGGCAGGAGGAACACGAGGTGGCCTGAGCAAATGCTCTGAGCACTTCCCAGGCTGATGAAGCAGCAGCATGGCTGGGTGAGCCTGAAAATCCTCTTCCAGGATTTTGGGGATCCTCAAGAGGGCAAAGGCAGGGATGGGGAAGTGGGTTCAGGGTGCCCTGGAAGGCCCTGGTGATGTCCCCAAGGTGGGGAGCAGGCAGGTGTCCCCTGGAGTGGGCACTGAAGGCTGTCCAGGTCCCCAGCAGTGTGGCTGATGGCACGGGGGTGTCCCTTCTGGCCTGACATCCTCTTTGATCTCTCAGTACAGTTTTCACAAACCCCTTCCATCTCCTCCCGTTCTCCTTTGGGTCAGAATGGTCTTTGCTGTAACACTGACAAAGGTCGGAGCAGCCGGGCTGCAGCGGGCAGCGTCTGGGAAAGGCTTCCCTGCTCCATGAGATGGAGAGATCCTTTGGGTCAAAAATAGATGGAGGCGGCTCCTGCTGCTGTGTGGGAGAAACAATCTTCTTCCAAACAGGACAGCACGTATCCAAATACTCCGATTGTCAGGTCTTGAAGATCAGGAGTCTTTTCCAAAGTTCCCTTTCAATCAGTGACATGGGCTGACCCGGTTTTATTTTTGGCTCCCCACTTACTGGTACAAAGTGGAGGGTCTCCACGGGTTTCCAAGGTAAGAGCCCGTGGAGTCGGGGAGCACACTCAAGGAATGGGAAATACGGTGTTAATTGGAGCCATGCAGGGCACACAGCCCCCCCGGCAGCCGGGCTGTGGCTTGTGGCAGGTTATGTCCCTGCAACCCGAGGTGAGGCCACCTCTGGAGGCACAGAGACCAGGGGCTGGGGTCACGCCGAATCCGGCACGACAGTGACAAGGTACCGGTTGCATTAGGGAGGCAGGGATGTTTCCAACACACGGAGAAAACCCTACCTTCACCACGTCCTCGTTGATGTGCTTGGGGTCTCTGTTCACCAGGTCGATCTCCTTGGTGTGCAGGTCCTTGATGATGATCCTCTCCTCCAGCGGGGTCTGCTCCTCCGCCATGGCTGCTCGGCCACCAGCTTGGCTGGGGAGAGGGAAGAGGGGCTGTGCCGGGGGAGGACCCGGGGGAGGGCAGGGTATGGAGGTGCTGGCCCCCCCCCACCGCCCGCAGCAGCTGCCCTGCGCCCCTGGCACCGCTCCAGGCTAAAATTAATGTCACGCCTCCTGCCTCTGCCCCACAGCCCTTAAAGGGGCTTTGCTGGGGACAGACCCCCGGGGTGTCACCTCTGGGGTTGGGGGGCTCATGTTGGGGGGGGGCGCTGGTGGCCCTCGAGCTGGGGAGAGGGTGGCACAGGGGGTGGACGTGCAGCCCCCCAGCCCTGCAGGAGGGATTTTCTCCACATGTGGGGAGGCAGCACGGGAGAAACCGTGCCCAAATTGGGGCAAAAGTCCTCAAAAGCCTGAGAGAAATAGCTGTTTATGAGGGAAACGGTTGTTTACGAATCTGTCCATGAAGTGGCTCAGGGGAGACAGGAATCACATCTATAAATATCACCCAGATAAGCCGTGTTGTCCTGGGACGGCCGCGGGGCCTGGGGTCCCTCCGGGAGCCCAGAAGCAGGCTGGGGGTGTCAGCGTGGGTTCCTTCCATTCCAGCTCCTTCATACAGGGAAACTTGGGGGAATCCGACGGAGCGACCCACAGATCGATAATGGCTGGTGTGTCTCCTCCAGGAACGCTGGGCACAGTGACATTCAGCAGGTTAATGAAGATTTATTCAACTTGTGCTGAATTTTGATAATCCTCATTAATCTCTTCACTGCTCTCTTGGTTTTCGTGAACTGAGGATTTGTTGAAAATGAATGGTTTTGGGTTGGTTTTTTGTTTTTACAAAACCAAGCCCCCACCAACCCCCCTCAACCAGCCACCCAAAGCTTCTGTCCAACCAGTTTACAAACACTTTCATTTGAAGCTGTATTGGGAAAACCGGCCTCTGTTCTCCCACTGGTGTCCCCCGTGGCTGGGGCAGTCTCCGGGGATGCCCGTGGTGACAGCCGGCTGTGCTGTGACAGGGGAGCTGGCTGTGACTTACCCCTGGTGAGCCCTGTGTGTCGGTACATTTGGAGGCAAAACCTCTGGGAGGGTGTGACTGCACGTCAGCCCCCGTTGTGTTAAGTGTTGGTGAGGTGCAGGTCTCTGAGCTTGAGTCCCATTCCCTCACCCACTGTTTCAGATGGGACCTCAGGCTGGGAACCGCTTTGGGGTTTGCTGTTGAGGTGAAATACTGCTCCCAGCTGAGGCTGGGGGTCACTTTGGAGGAGAGGAGCAGGGGGGAGCACCCAAATGAGCCCCCACCCTGGTGGGTGCCTGCTTTTCCCCTCTTTCCTGCAGGCACCCCCTGCAGCCCCAGCAGAGCTTTAGAGTTTTGTTTCTGGACTCAGAGTGGTACCTTGGTCTGGAAACTGTTTTTTTTTTTCTTGGAATTTCTGCTCTAGTGAAAGCAGATGTGGCGATGCCCTGGGGTGTGACACGTCCATGGCTAAAACTGTGATGCCTGCAGCTTGTCAAGGACCTCCAGGACCCCTCCTGTGGGGAGAGGAAGGGCAGAACTGGGGCTGGGAAGTAACTATGCAAAACCCATGGGGCTTTCTAAAAGTAATGGGGGCACTGAGGATGAAGGGATAAATTTTGTAAAGGTTTTTGAGTGTGGGGTTGTGGGTTTAAGCCTGGGTAGGCTGTGGTGTGCTCCAGGAGACCCTCTCCTGGTTGTGTTCCTCCCTGTGAAAGGACACGGGAAACCCTTCGGCAGCACCAGTTGCATGTCCCTGGGTCTCTTGCTGGAGGGGTGGCTCAGTCCCTTGCCCTTCCCCAGGCCTGGCCCAGCACCACAAGCTGCAGCCCTCAAACCCAGCAGGGAGCTGATGCCCAGAGCCTGGCTCGGGACGAGCTGCCCTTTGGAGGGGCTTTCAGACCACGCTTGGTCAGTGACCGACCCTCTGCCACGGTGCCAGCACTGGCTCCTGCTTGTCAGCAGGGACTGGTGTGGTGAGTAAAAACCCCTCCAAAGGTTTGGGCAGCAGCTTTAAGGCCAGAGCAGCTCTGTCACGGCTGGATTCCTCCCTGACAAAGTTGTGTAGCATCGCTGCTGCGATGGCTGAGCGCTTAGGGATAGATTGCTGAGGATGGTTGGGATTTTTTTTTTGCAAAATAAGCTGTTTTCCCCCTTGCTCTGAGCTGAAGGAGCAGGTAGCTGGTGTGAGCGGGGGCGGTGTGTGAGCCCCCACTGTCTGACACACCAGCAGCGCTCGCTTGGCCGGGGACCAGTGCCCAATTTAGGAGTCGCAGCTGCTGCCGGCAGCGCTGGCCCCTGCCCGCCGGGGGAGTGCCACAGGGGGGGTTTGCTCTGCTCCTTTCCATCCATCTGTCCCGCACGGAAGGCTTTCCATGGGGAAGGGGGGCTTTGGTGATGTGCCATCCCTGCAGTGCGGGGGGCTCAGCCCTGGGGCCGTGTGGGGGTACAGCAGGGTGGTCGTGGGGTGCAGCTGCTGCTTCGCTGAGCCCTCCCCACCTCTCCTACGGGATTTCTGACGGTGTGAGTCACTTGCTGTCTTTGGGCTGGGCTGGTCCGTGCTCCTGCACCCCCAGGCATGCGGCTTCCGTGTCCAAGGCGTGGGAGTAGGAAAATGTGAACCCGCCGATGTGCGGTTCGTGCGTGTCTCAAGTAGCCATGAGAGAGAGGAGGAATATTCTGTTGCACCGTAGACACTATAAATAAATCCATTTGTGAGTACTTTAACGCTGTGAATGGGACGCCATGTGAAAGCTCTGGTGTGCAGAGGCTACAGGAGTTAACAGTGATATTAGTTTGTTAGTAACTAGTGGCAACCAGGAGTTTAATTGCTAAGTATAGATGATAAAACAATAGTGGTTTTAGCAAATACTAATTCTCCCCTGGGGATAGATATAGACAATAATAGAATTGTCTGGGTTGGAAGGGACCCTTAAGATCGAGTCCAACCATCAACCCAACTCTGATAAAACCCATCACTAACCCATGTCTCTGAGCACTATGTCAACCCGGCTTTTGAATCCCTCCAGGGATGGTGCCTCAACCCCTTCCCTGGGCAGCCCACTCCAGGGCTTGGTAACCCAATGATGAGAGATGCATTGAAAGGATTTGCTGGCCATGGCTTGTCTTGTGGAGAGAGTCAGCCTTTAACTTCTTGGCAGTGACTGGTACCAAGTCACGCTCCAGCTGCACAGCAATAAAGTCATTGTGCCTTTCAATAAAAAGTCCATCTTTCATATAGCAAGTGCATTCCCCCTTCCAAACTGGGGGCTTCTCCTTGTGGGGATTGTCTGGCACCAGGCTCTGGGCAAGTCCTGAGCTACAGAAGGTCCCTGAGCGCAACCCCCTGGCCTGTGTCTGTCCAGCTCTGAGTGTGCAGGGAGGGGGTTCGGGCTGTGCAGACAGTGTTCCTGCACACACACAGCACACTCAAGTGCTGCGCCCAGCTCCCCACCCCAGTGCAGGAATCTGGGCTGTGCCTTTTACCAGAGGATGCATTTACCCTGTAAATATGATATTGCTGGTGGCCACTGCATGGAGAAGCTTCTTTTGTCCAACTTTTTGCTCCTGCCAGGCTTTTTTTTCCTACTCTACGAGCAGCTCCTCAGAGCCTCGTGCCGCAGCACTGACAGAGGAGGATGCTGCTGGCTCTGCATTTCAGTCTGGAGCTTACCAGAGAAGCAGGGCTTGGTCCTCCTCATCCCCAAACCTTCCCAAGCTGTCAGGCATCGCTCAGGACATGGAGGAGACTCCACTGCTTCTGTTTAGCTTGGGGTACTTTTTCCACCCTCCCTGTATGTCAGATCTCTGAAGGTTCTTTTTCTCCCGGGGAAATGGCAGGAGTTACAGAGCAGAGGGATGTGGCAGGAGCAGGACAGGCTCGGCAGCCTGCTCAGTGCTGCTCAGCTCACTCCTCTGCTGGGCAGACCTTCTCCAAACCCATGGTGTACTTGCTTTGCCCCTCAGTTGGGGGGCTGCTCCCTTTGCTCCTCCTCTGCCTGTGCGACGTGTCTGGGGGTCCCCATGGGAGTTGAAGCCCAGCTGCACTGAAATTAAAATCTTTCATTTTGAGAACATCTGTAAGGAAATCTTATGATAACATTCTGCAGAACCCAACAGTTATCATTTTTTCACCCTGACGAGTGCTACATGGAGTCTTGACGAGAGTATTTTTTTCTATAAACAGATTATTTAAAAACCTGGGCTGGCTGTGGGCTGGAAGGGCTGGTGCTATGAATTGAGAAGACTTCTAGAGGTCAGATAAATATCCTGCTGCTTGGTCCCAGCAAGTAAAATATATTTTTCTTGAGCAGAGAAGAATAAAGCAGAAATAAAGCGCTCAGAAATCAAAGCTCCTTTGAAAATAAATAGACGAGAATTGCAGTGAAGGAATAGTAAAGAAAGAGAAGAAATTGGGAGCTTTTGGTATGGAGTCCTCTGAGAGCGTGCGTTGTGCTGTGGGAGGGAGGAGAGCCGGGTACAAAGTGATGCTGGTAAATTGAGTCTTAGGTTAAAGCAGGAGGAATGAGTCAGTACATAAGTCCTGACCGCAGGGGATTTTAATCCTTCGGCTCAGTTTAGTGTGTGTAACAAGGAAAGCAAATGACTGAGTATTTCAAGCGAGTGGAAGGTGCTGCCAGATGGGAGTGAGGGATCAGCTCTGCTGTCAGTGCTTGGAGCAGAGCTCTCCTTTCATCTTTGTTGAAAAAAGCAAAACAAACTACCTTTCATGTCTCCTTCCCATGAGCATCTTCTCAGCTCTACTGACTGTTGCAGGTTACAGTTTTAAGGATCCGTTCCCAAGTGTTACTTCTCCCTGGGAATGGGAGCCTGCAAGTGGTGGTGCTGTGTGACCCTGGCTTTGGTTCCTCCTGCCCGTTACCCTGTGGTGCTGCAGGTCAGGTGGGTCTCTGGTGCCTGCAGAAGGTGTGTGCAGGCTCGGGAACACTGCGGTTGAGTTTCTCTTATTTTGGGTACAAATCTGCAAGCCTGGCCAATGGATCTGCAAACACCTGACCATCTCTTCATCTTCCTTTGCTGACTTGAAAGAGCATCAAGATGAACGTGGGCAATGACTTT